TAGCCATACACCTACCCAAGTCTTGGACGACAAGGCTGAGCACATGCGTGCTGCAGGCACTTAGCCGCAACCGAACCAACACCGACGCAAGTCAGTATGCAGTCCACTATCGCAAGTAAGCTGGCGCGGAACTTCTCGAAGGGATGGAAGCTCCCCAGTCTTCCTCGAGTCACCGATCCGCCGTTCGTGAGACCTACATCGACGCGTCTCATATCAACCCCATGGAGAGACCACTTTACAGCACGTGCAACTGTCGCGACAGCGCACTCTCTTCTACCGCCAACGTGCTTTCCATCTTAACATTCGCGTACATTCTGATAGCTGGCACTCTCTACCAGGTGGCTACGCTCTATCGAGTGAAGAGTGATAGCGACTGGGCTGCAGTTCAGGCGCAAGCGACACGACTACGAGACTTTGCATGGTCGATAGAACGCAGAGATGCTATCAGCACTGAGTTCTTCAAACGACTGGACGATCTGGATAAGGAGATAGCACGGAAGCTTCCTGGCAATGCCGCAACAGGGAAATGGCATCTGGTATGGCGGCAGGCAAGGAGCACCTGGGACAGAGCTGAGATAGAAGACAAGCTATACAGTCTGGCGCAGATGCGGTATGTTTTGACAGGAATCCCTCGTTTCCGCACAGAGCGAGAGGAATAACAAGCTAACGCTCGGTCCACGCATCAGTCTACTATTTCTCGAGAGTGGATTGAATGAAGTTGAGCAAGACAACAAGCCGACGGACCAAGTGCTAGACAAAGCTCGCACCCAGCTCGAAGAGTCGAAACGCCTGTTCCTCACTCAACTCAGGAGCGAGCCCAAGGAGCGGCGAAGACGAACGCTAGATGCGATAAAGAGCGAATCCGGGGAACGAGGGCGCGCAGCTTGGGAGGAGATTGAGGATGTGATCAAGAGGCTTGATGCAGAGGATGTGGAGCGGCGTGGAACCCGGGGGTTTGTCGAAGGCGTTTGATGAAGTGCGGAGCGCAAGAGACGGGGGTTCCCGCTCATAATACGATTCAAAGCGCGTCCATGTCTGTAGATTTGCGCCCGTATCGCAAACAAAAACCAAAGTTCAAAAAGATCCAAGTCAAAAAGCACGATGCAGGTGGTGTTGAGAGGATGGCACACGGCTGGTGGCAGTGCCTCGGCTCACGGGGATAGCGGCAATGAGCTCCCCATGGCTTGCGTGCGGAGAAGCATAACCCTTTACCTCATTCTACCCAGACTTCCTGACCTCCTGCATGCTCATCATTACATATACGGACCAATCTCGCCATGTCTGACGAAACCGAGAAGCCCACCCAGCCCGAAGCGTCCAATGTGACTGACACCCCTGACGTCAAGGAGGTGGTGGATAAGATAGCGGATGCCGCACCCAGGGCGGATCCGAGGGACCTGGACAGGACCGACTTGCTTGCAGGCGTCAAGAAAGTGGACCAGACAATTCTGAGGCTGAACAAGTACGTCAGGTCGAGCGTGTGTCGTTGTGAGGGTCAGAGGCATGAGCTAATGTAGGGCAGACTGCTAGCTTCCCCAGGCGGCCTCTCCGCATTCCTCTCCACATTCAACTACTCCCTCTATATCCTCGCCTACGTGCAGACCAAATCGCCGTCCATTTCCAGCTTCGCGACACGGCTCCTCACGCTGATCCGCCCCGCTTGCGACGATGCAAAGATCTCCGCCGCAACCCTGTTAAACAACGGCACGGTGCCGCCCATCGCTGCGCTCGCCGTCCTCATCTCGAAAGCGCGCACAACGCTGAGGCTGTTTGGTCTTTTCCCGCTGTACGCCTGGTTGCGCTCGCTAGCCTCAGGCCCCAAAGCCGGCACAGATGTCGTGCTGCACCGCATCGCCATGCTGCAGGCGAGCAGCTACTTCTCCTACCAAGCCCTAGAGAACATCTCCCTCCTCGCCGACTCGGGCGTCATCTCGCCCCGCTTCATCTCTACCCTCAACCGCGGCGATCCGACGACTGCGCGTTTATATCTGTATGCCTACCGCTGTTGGCTAGGCGGCGTGTCGTGCGACTTCCTCCGTTTGATGCGCGAGTGGCAGCTCGAGGGCCGCAGGAGGGTGACTAGGCAACAGATGGTTGCCGATGGCCGCGCGATTGCGGAATATCAGGACGAAGAGGACAAGAAGTTTGACAACAGGTGGTGGACCGATTTTGTTATCGCAAGCGCGTGGTTGCCCATGGCGCTGCACTTCAGCAGCACGACTGGAGGCTTGCCAGGCTGGAATCTGGGATGGATGGGTGCCTGTGGTTTGGTGGCTGGAAGTACGAGGTTCAAGGCGCTCTGGGCAAGTACAGCCTAGGGGATTTGTTACCATGGTAAGAGGGCTTACTGGGTTTCGGCACAATTTACATATATTCGAGCGTTTAGCTTTTTTGACAGTTGAGGTATTCGAGCAGTATGAGCCCTTACGTTGTCCATGTCATTTTCCACAGTCCGGTCATGGTGACCATGTGCTGCTGCGGCGATTGCGCCTGCCCTAAACGCATCTTTATGAGCGATACAAGCCGTATGCGAAAGGGATACGGAACGCACCTGCTTCTACACTACATGGAGCTAGCCGTACAGGGAAAGCCCAACCGACTATCCAGAAGTGGGGAAGTGACTATCTCCCAGACACGATTACGTCGGCCCATCCTGCTCCCGCCTGGGACCACGAACATACAATCGACAACGCTGGCGTCACCACACGCCCACAAGAATTGGGACTCACTACCTTTCGGAACACCTTCGTTAAGCTAAGCTGTTCCTGAAATATGGCAGGCAATAGTGTATGTTCGCGACCACCAACGGCATGACATTGACTGACTCATTTCCTGATCTAGAGTCTTGGTCTAAATCCTCAAGACTTCGACATTGTCGAAGCTAGTATCGGTGATCATCTGAAAGCTCTCGACGAACAACGGATTACCATCGTGGATCTTGTCATCAGCTGTCTGAATCGCATTGCCAAGTTCGACACTATCCAAGGTCTGAATGCCTTTACGGTATTCAACGAGAAGGTCCTCCAAGATGCAGCAGCTTCCGATGCTCGGCGTGCCCAAGGTCTCAAGCCTCGACCTTTGGAAGGTATACCTTATACGATCAAAGACAGCTACAAAGTTGCCGGCATGACAGTCACAGATGGCTCACCTGCTCTGAAAGGTGTCATGTCAAGCGGCGACTCTGCAATCGCTGAGAAGCTTCGAGCTGCGGGAGCGATCTTGATTGGAAAGACTAACATGCCACCGATGGCTGCGGGTGGTATGCAGAGAGGCATGTATGGTCGTGCAGAGTCGCCGTATAACTCAAAGTACCTCACTGGCGCGTTCTCATCTGGTTCGTCGAATGGTGCTGCAACGTCTGTGACGTCCAGCATGGCAGTCTTCGGCATGGGTAGCGAGACCGTCAGCAGCGGACGAAGTCCAGCGTCCAACAACGCCATCGTATGCTACACGCCATCGAAGGGGCTCTTGAGCTGTCGCGGGTTGTGGCCTTTGTACATCACATGCGATGTTCCAACCCCGTATGCGAGATCGGTGGACGACATGTTGGAAATACTGAATGTCATCGCTACTCCAGATGAAGACACATCAGGGGACTTCATACGCGAACAAAAGCATGTGCAGATACCTCAGCCTCCTTCAATCGATTACACTACTCTACGAAACGGCGAAGCGCTGCGAGATAAGAGGGTCGGGGTGCCGAAGATGTACATTGGCCAGAAAGACTCAGATCCGCACGCAAAGCATCCTTACGTCTCACCAGAGGTCGTCGCAATATGGCAACAGGCAGCGGAAGACATTAAGTCTATGGGGGCAGAAATCGTCTATACTGATTTCCCTCTAATAACAAATTACGAAAACGACTCCCGTTCAGGTGAAGCGAACAACGTCGATGGACGTCCCGCGAACTGGAACCTCCTCGAGCGAGGCGTTCTTATCGCCCAAGCGTGGAATGCTTTTCTCGTAGACAACAATGACCCCAACATCAAGTGCTTAGCCGACATCAAAGATCCCGCGATGCTATTCCCAAAGCCACCAGACTACAAGCCGGATCGCTTTCTCGAAGTGAGGAATTGGATTGATTACCCCGGTCTGCCCAAGATGGTCCAACATGGGAGTATACATGACATCCAGGGTATGGAGCAAGCTCTCAAAGCTCTCGAAGCCCAAAGGAAACGCGATCTAGAAGATTGGATGGACAAAAATGGGCTGGATGTCGTTGCATTTCCTGCGCAAGGCGACGTCGGTCTCGCAGATCTTGAATTCGACATTGACAGCACGACACATAGTCTCCAGAATGGCGTAAAATACTCCAACGGTAATCGCGCAATCAGGCATCTCGGTGTACCTACTATGAGTGTACCCATGGGTGTCATGAGCGACAAGTACATGCCTGTGAACATCACATTCGCTGGGAAGGCTTACGAAGATACCAAGCTATTGGAGTATGCATATGCGTTTGAACGGGCGACCAAGAGACGTATACCGCCTCCTCTTACCGCCCTACCCACCGATATCATCCGAAAGACATTCTCCTCACCACCCAAAAACAAGTCTCTTATTGAGTCCGTTGCAGCTGTCTCCAACACTATCTCGGGCCTCACTATCCAAGTCTCCATGGTCGCCTACGGTGGCTCTGATCATCCATCGCCAGCAACGTCACTGGAGGTCTTCGTAGACGGGGAGGCGGTATTTCACGAAAACACCAACAAGTTGGAGTGGAACGTTTCGTTTGCAAATGAAGTTCAGAGGCCGGAAGTCCTGGGGTGGGATCTCAGGCCGCTGCCGAAGAGAGACATCATGGTCATCGTGGTTGCGAAGAGGCAGTTGGATGGGGAGGGCCTCCAGAGGGAGGCAAGGGTACTTTGGGTACCTGTCGATGAACATGGTGAAGCGTCTGCTTGAATATCTGCAAAGACCTACGGCGGTGCGATATCCCTCGCTCCCATTGACGAACCACCTGGTGTTCCACGCGATTACAGAATGGAAGACCTCCCACTTTAGTAAATTTGAGCTGTCTGAGTGACGTGTTCGTCTGAGATAGCCTGGCCGTCCATGATGCCGTGTACATACGCGTCTCCAACAAGACGAAGCTCATGATATCCATTCTCAAGTTCTTCCTTGTTTCTTTTCCGCATGACAAATGGTACGTTGCCGTTATAAAAGACCCAGATCTGGTCTCCAGGCGAGGTAGTAGGTGGGCCCATACCAAGGTAACCTCTCTTTGTAATGAAGAAAGCATGATTCGGTACCATACCACAGAGAGATTCAAATAGCCCGCTCATCCCGTGTGGAGGATAATTAGACTGGTGGCCTTGTTGCGGGAATTCTTCATTGCTGAGTGCGCGTTCGATCTCGAGAAATTCCGAAGCGTGCGTTGCTTTCGCTCGTTCGATAGGATACTCAGCCATGACGAGATCACCGATCATGGTCCGCCACAGGGCTTCGCACGATTGTGCCGGATCACGTTTATAGCTGTCGTGCCCTGCCACTAGTTGCCTTGCGTCGGACATTACGTTCCGTATCTTCCGATAGTCAAGATATTCCTCATCGGAAACCTCGTACACGCTGTTGACTTGCTCTACTTGGTCGACCAGCAGACCTGGTAAGGATAAACATGTCCAATCACTCGATACCTTCGGTAATAAGTCTTCCTTCTCGGGCTCCTGTTCGCGCTCGAATCTACCTCCTGCCGAGAATTGCCTGTATCGATGCGAGTGATTCCACCACTTCAGTTGGCGCTTGCCTACATGGTTGGAGCATGCGAAGTCGATTGACCAACTGGGTAGATCGGGGGTGACATGCGGCATCTCGCTGGACGCAATCAGAGGCCTAAGACCTTCTCGAAATAGCAGTAGATCGCTTGTAACCATTGCAAATAATAAAGATGCCGGTAGTGAGTAGCTACGCGCTTGAGCGTGTGGAAGAGTCTCTGAAATTTGACGCGCATCAAGCAAGCCCAATAGCCCATAGATCTTATCGCGTGGATCGGTAGCTTTCCGATGGCGCCAGCGCATGAACAAGTCTAACCCCGACTCGCCATCAGTCGAATGTAGAAATCCATTGATAGGATACAGAAGACTACGGAGAAGTGGGGTATGCATGATGCGCTGATATCGAAACCTGGGTGGGAAAGAGCGAAGATTGTCGCCACGCAGATGCTGTACCACTAGGAGTATGTTGCGCCGTGACACTGAGAGCGGGCCCCATCTGAACTCAGCTGAGCAGGGCAGTATTGACTCTTGAATTGTCCAGATGCGCTCCCACCAGGTATTCCCATACATAGCAAAGGCTGCAAAGGCCTTTCGGGCCGTCACGCCTGCGGCACCTTCTTGGAAGAGCGTGGGGAGGCCATCCTCGGGGTCAACGCCTTTACTAGACAAGTCGTAGGCCTCTCCTGCTGATGTATTTCTGATTGCTGGTCTGTTGGCGACAGCTTCAAAGAACGCAAATACTGCGTGTGTGTCCGCCTCATTTATGCCATGTTCGGCATATTGGATCTCACCCAGCCATAGGATGCAATGTGCGCATTTACTGTAGATTTCTCGCATCAAGGCAACCTGGCTGGCCTTCTCTTCCATATCCCACTGGTTGATGCATATCTGGTCAACCCACAGTGTGCGAGTTTGGTCTGGATAACGTAGACGTCGAAGAGCGTCGTGGAGGTTTGGCGAGATGTTGATGGGGCTTCCTGACACTTGAAGACTTCTTTTCTCGACAGCATCACCCCAAACATATGATAGCGCTTCGTATTGCGCATCGCCATCGACACTAATGTTGCGGATATGGCACTCAATAGTGTCGTCGGGGCAGCCAGGTAGCAGGTCCAAGACGCGGATCTCGCGGTTGTTGGGGCGTTGAGATACTATGTAAGTCAGGTGACTATACAGTCGTGAAAGCTCATCAATTTACCTGAAGCTTCCATCACGATCGAGCCAGGGACAAGAGCCATAGATCGTTCAAACGAGATGAGTGTTGAGTAGAAGCGAATGAATCACGTGTGCGGTAGCTGCTGCATCATGAGCTGCCCGATCAGCCAAGAGCGGGCTGATCAAACAGAGCCAGGAATTATCCCATGGCCTGCATGCCCAGGTGGTGATAGAAATCGTAACGTACAGCACTTACGCTGTTCACGACAGCATCCTCGTGGAGTTCTTAGAAGCTTCGGCATGGCTGCTCCGCGCGGACGTAGGTACCTAGGTAGAAACGCTGCCAAGAGTGGGTCCACGGCGCGTCATCTCTCGCGTCAACCAGACCTCGGGAAGTGTGCCCTCTTCACCTCACTCCACCACCACCAAGTCGTACACGATATGGGCGCATACTACAGGACAAAGCTATCGACGCGCTTGTGCTGATCCGATAGTCCATCTCCATCTCAATTCACCCCTTTGGTTTCGCCATGGCAGTTCATGTCGGCTGTCATCTCAGCACATTCATCATCTTCCCAAGCAAGAAGACCAAGCCGATGAGCTACAGTATGTTCAGGGCTATTTTAGCAGCCCCAGAACCCTTTGGTTCTCTTAGTCACCTATTGCGGCCTTCCTGTGCCAGACTATTCCACCTTCGCTCATGCTTTTCAGAGCCCGGTGTATACTCGTATGCGTTCCTTTGGGATTAAGCAGTTTTATATCACAACTGTCAGAATCCTGTCAAAACGCGCCTCATCGTCCTACCGATACAAATGCTATCTGGCACGGACGAGGCATCTCCGCAGATCGCATATTGATCGTGACAGAAATCTCTATTGACTACGGCCAGTAGGCAGTGACCGGCAACACGACTGTACGGTCTTTGTCTCGTGAATATGTCACAAAATCTATAAGGTGGTTCTGATCAGAACACCCCATTATCTCGATTTTGACGCGCGGACCACAAGTTGCGTCATCGCTTCAAGGAAAGCTCTCACTGACTGAGCGCACTGACGGTTCTGGACGGTCTTTGACTGCTCCAGGCAACGTTGATAGGAGTGGTGAGCGTTTGCAAATTTCTTTCAGGGTCTCGTTGAAGGCTTTTCATCAGCCCTCACTGCTCACCAGTGCCTATAACGGAAGTCTTTCGTCGATCACACGCGCCTGCTGAACTTCTTCACTCTTCTGCGCCTGAGTCAGATGATTCGATTCTTCTACTTTCTCTGCACGTCCTTCACATCTCTGCTGCTATAAAGAGCATATCGTCTCCTCTGGCTTGAACGGTTTCTCTCACTCTTTCGACTCATAATCTGCCCTGAGACCAATTCACTATGGAGCGGAGTCAGGATAGCGATCCATATCAGTGCGAGTATGTATTCACGAGCGAGCCCTTTGAAATCAATGCTTACAATATATAGTGCGGCGCAGACTCAGTCATCTGGCACGTCCCCAGTGGCAGACAGCTCGCCTTTATCAGAACTTCCTGAAACTCCCTCTCTAGAAGTGAGCAGTGCGATGCGAGGCAACGATGGACGCGTCGAAGCGCTCAAAAATGATGACGGCGAAGAGTCTGCGGACGAAAGTTCAGACGCCAAGAAGCCATACGCATGCCAGTATTGTGGCAAGACATATGTTAGCGAACAGAAGCTCAAAGTACGTATCAGAAGCCTGTACTCTATCTTCACCTACTGACCTAACTGTAGCGCCATATAAGGGATACCAGATCCAAATGTGCAAAGAGGCGCCTCGGGGTTAGCACGAGTGACAGCGTCTTTGCCTGTCCACGGTGCGATGCCCAGATGTCCAAGAAGTACTCTATAGAGGTTCGTCGTCCGTCCATATTCTTCAGATAAACACTGCTAATTTTGAATCAGCGACACATCAAAGACTCATGTTGGAAAATTTGCGACGAGTGTTGCAAGGCCCACGAGTCTACATGCGATGCCTATTATACCGACGACGCCTGTAAACATTGCCTGCAGCAGGGACTTGCATGTACCAAGCACAAAGAACAAGTGTCCGACTGCAACCCAGAGTTGCTCACAGATACACCCACACAGCCGTACAAATTAGCTCCTAGATCTAGTCGCGCTGGCACAGTTGCCAAGGACGACAAAGGCAAGCGTAAGGCCACCGACTCACCAGGTGCGAGTCCAAAGTCCAAGCCGGTCGCCAAGCGTGCAACTGCTGTTGCCAAGAAAGAGACGACTACAGCCACTGGACCAAGTCAGGAAGCTGGCCGTTTGTATCCTCCGTTTGCCTCGCAGTCTGACCTTGAGAGGTCGCCCCAGTATCATATGGATATCGAAAAGAACAGTACGTGTCCTCCAAAAACTCCTTATCTTGAATGACTGCTAATTACCACAATTCCAGTTGGCGGCTTGAGATCCTCAACGCACCTACAATCGCGCGATCACGTCCCAACTACACTACACCCGCAGTCGACACTCATGTCCCAGCACGTCCAGCGAGATCAAGCCCGAGGACATCCAGTTCCGCAGCAGCAGGTTCCCATACCACCCTTGATACCCGGCCAACAATACAATGGTCGCGATGTCATGACTCCGCAGCAAGCTCTGGCTCGCTGGCCAAATATCCACAATAGTTCTGGTCTTATGACATATATTGTGGGGCGGAATGGAGAGGTCCTGAACCAATCTGCGATAGATGGTGATGAGTTGCTCAAGAAGTTGAATGCGCAGCAGAGACGTATCGCAGCCATGGCAACTCGACACAACAACGGAGTGCGTGTGCCTGTACCGACTCGTCCAGCGCCACAGGCACCGGACGAACATCGCACCCAGTTCAACCATGTGCATTCCCCTGAGTCTCGTTTGACGCGCTTCCGACCCATCCAATGCGCCAACTTCAAGGTGTATGAGGAAGCTGCTCGTCGTAACATTCGGCCCAACGAGTTCCTTGCAAGCGCGCCTGGATCTCGCATGCCTTCTCGTCAGACGTCGGCCCAGCCAGCCGCCGCCTTGCACTTGCCGACACAAGGGCAGCTTCAGGGAATGAATACGGCTGCTCCGGCTACGAAGGGACCGGTAGCTCGGGAGCTCACACAGCCAGTAAGTCGAAATGTTTCCCGGCTCCAAAGTCTAGTCACTGACAAGTTTAGATTGCTTTGCAACGCTCTGCTCTACCTGTAGGCGACGAGAACGATCCCGTAATGACGCTTCGTATTCATAGCAATACATACGACATCAATGGCACTCCCATCTTCTCCATCCTCACGATCCGCGCGTCGCAGAAGTTCGGCCCTCGTTTAGAGTACTATTGTCAACAGCGAGGCAAACAGTACGGCATAGACTGGGTCTTCATATACCAATACGCGCTAGGTGGCCCGGATGATGACATGGGAGCACGTTACATCAAGATCGACTACGATATGATCTTCAGCGATGTTCATGATCCCGAGCGTCCCGACATCAAGCTCCGAGATATGGACACCATCATGATCATGAAAGCCAAGTCCCGCCTCGTAACCATGATCGAGCATGGTCGGAACAGGATCGAAACACCGCTATCGCCAACTGGCTCGCAGGTTTCGGAAGACAATATCGACATCGTTGACGGCGAGACCCCGATCTTCCAGAACGCCGGCACCATTGCGAATTGGAACCGCATCGTTGAGAGTAAGATGATGGAGTTGCGCAATCAGGTCAACACCTTAACATCTGAGAACCAGCGCCAGAAGACAGAGTTGGCTAGGCAGAACCAGATGCTCGGTGATATGATCAAGCGCAACGATGCGTCGTTGCGGAGCAGTCATCCACAGGTTACTGGTCGTGGTGTTCATGCCTTCCCCTTCGTTGGTCATTCAGCTGCAAACCTCCATCCCGGCATCCAACGTGGCCCAACTGTCCAGCGCAACGCGTTCATGGACCGTCTGGAAGCAGTCCGAGAACCCACCGTGCTAAACGATTCGCGAAACCGCATGCAGCAGTACCAGTTCCCGACTCATCACCCTGGCATGCAAGGTCGCCGGCCCACTTACGATAGCGGCGAGCGTGAGGCGTTTCCGGACTTCCAGAGGATCGGTGCGGCGACGACTCAACCTACACAGTTCTCTGCATACGGGATGTGTGACGACATGACTTCGTATGTTCCTGTTCTGCAACATGTACAGGGCGGGAGTGATGACATGGGCGCTCCGGTGATGAAGGTTGAGGATGTGGAAATGGAGGAGTAGGACTTCAGTTCTAGCTACTGAGACACTGGTGCTTCGTTTCCGCCCTGTAGGAAGCTTTGAGGTCTAATCTGCGCGAGGCAGGTGTTCTGAAAACTTTCAGACCCAACGATATGGCGATGGTCTCACCCCAGGGTGTTCAGGTCCTTGCTGTCAGATCTGCGTATATCGGCGTTAGTGCCACGAGCCTGAGCTTCGTAAATGTGGTGTTCCAGTCACGCTGTCTGGACTAGCGACGCGCTCATCTACCATGGGCAACAGCATGTACAAGTCTTTTCTAATAATAAACGTCTCCACTCGCTGGCTTGACGAGAACTTCATTCGCAGTGAATCGTATGATGCATGTACCAATCTACTCGGCTGCTTTGAGTGTTCTTCAACCCATGACTCTGATGTTTCGTAAGACTTTATCGAGAAAAGACAACAATCTAACGTGATATTACAACAATGCTATGCTAACGCTAAGCCGACAGAAGTATGTTTAGGCAACGGTGCATCCGACACCAACTCCCAAAATGCCCAACGGATATTCTATAGTTCCCAAACGCCCACATGTCCAACCCTAGAGACCATAGTCCCTTAATCACTAGCATACCCGCTCTCCTTGCCGCATTTGACATGCACCAACTCCGTCTTGCCGTCTCCATCAACAACAAGCGCCGTCAGCTTGCCCCCACTAACACACCCCGTATCCAGACCATAAGAGTACTCATGTATATTGAGACCCTTCTTTCTGTTGTGTCCGTAAACCACCGTCGCCCTATCCTCCTGCTTCAGCTTCTCCTGGCGATGATTCCAGAACTTCTCCCAAGGCGTGCCCGCATGTTTGCTACTCGGTATTCTCGTTTTAAGATCGATAGTCCGCATGTTCATAACGTGAAAGGGGTCTTGGTGTTCGAGCGGGGTGTCGGGGACGAGGCCGGCGTGTACGGTTACGAGGTTGTCTAATGTCGGGACGCTGCCGACGCGGAGGATGACGGGGCATTGTCGGAGGTATTCGATTTCTTTTTTGGTGAATTGTTTCGCTAGCTTACGCAGCTTGTAGTCGCCGTGCGATTGGCTGACTTCGTCTACGAAGTCGACGTTTGCGTCGGGGGAGTCGTCGGGAGTGAATTTGAGGACGTGACGATCTTGCGCGTCGGCGATGGAGAGCAGGAGCTTGTCTTCCCAGTTTCCGCGCACGCAGGAAGCGCCGATCTTTTGGGCGAGCTTGATGACGCCTGGCGAGTCTGGGCCCTTGGCTATCATGTCGCCGGTCATGACGAGGTGGTCGTGCTTGTGGTTGAAGTCGATCTTCTTGAGGAGATGCTCCAGTTCCTTTCTGCAGCCATGGACATCGCCGACGAAGACGAGTCTGCTGTGCTTCTTAGGCAGATGCTGCTCGTCCATGTCGCTGACCTGGATCATGCCCTTGAACTCTGGCCGGACATTGCTGCCGTAGCTCATCGTTGGTGCATTGTCCATGAGATGCAACTCCGTTCTGTATGCTGTGTGTCTAGGCCCAAAGTATGTCCACCAACTTATCAAAAAGAGAACCGCGATTACGAGATACGTGACACTGTGGCGCTTTATCCGCCGGGGGATTCGGTCGGTTGTGCGTGCGATCGCCGCCTGGAACTTTGGCGGAATCAGGAAATCGTCGTCGCGTGCGTAGAAGCCTTCTTCTTCGTCGGATACGTCAAGGTCGTCGCGGTAGTCTGGTATCTGCTCGATGAGGGGTCGCGGGCGGTTTTGCGCATGCGCATAGGGGTGATCACGGTACGACGTCATCGCGATGTTTTGGTCGAAGGGGAAAATCTCGCACTGCCGCCGTGTCTCAAGATAGTCTTCACAGCGAGGAAAACAGGCACTGTATACGACGACGTAGAATGCGAAAGCAGTGACAGCGTTATGCCAGTCCTTTTTATTATGGCCGAGCGGTCATTTGCGCTTGGTGTTTCTTGCGCAGGTCCTTCCTGTCGTGGCGGTCGAGAATTCTAGAGGCAGGGTCGGGGCAATTATACAGTAGAGGGTGCCAGGAAGTCATCGAGGCATGATCAGGCGGGCGAGGAGCCTCCATAAGAACGCCGCTGCTGTTTCGCGTTTGTCGAGCCCATCTAGCCTTGCTGGCTGACCCCAGCGTCGATCCCGGACTGCCGGCACGCGGACTTGGCGGGAGCGTGGGCCGCTACTTTAGCTACACACGTGTAATCCACGCGTGTCTGCATCCCATTTCGTGGCAAAGCATCTAGGCAGTGAAATAGAGCAGTCGCTGCGTTGAAAGCGCGCCCATTTCGATGCAGGTGGTGCGCCGTGGTTCTGGGCATACGTGCCGCTTGTGTCCTTTCGAAGCTTAGCGCTACCTGACCAGGCAGTCGCGAAGGATTCACGCCTTGACAATCAGCGCGATATCAGTCCAACACACTTGGGCAACATCGCATGTTCCTTTTTTGCTTCAGGTCTCATCATGTTGTTTTCCAAAGAACCAAACCCGCTCAAGGTGGTCGTCTTAGGTGAGGCCCAATCAGGCAAAACATGCTTCATTGACATGGTATGCGACCGTCCTGTCAACATTACCCATTGTCGTTTCTCCTCCAGTAGCATCAGTATTGACACTGGCTCTAGTTCCTCGAAGGGAAACACTTTATTCGCCACAGCGCTGTCGACTCCGAACTACTTTCAAGGACCATTTCGCACGCTGATGACAACTGGAGCTTTTCTTTCATGGATATAGATCTCCAGGGCTCCATATCTCCCTCATATCGCCGTGTCTTGAATGAATACATTGGGGGTGCTGATGGCGTCGTTCTGATATACGACATCACTGCCCAATGGTCTTGGGATGAACTCATCAAATACACGTATCCACACATCTACCACTGTCGCAACACCATATTTACCAAAGACGGCACAGAAGGGAGGATGCAAGGAGTGAAGAAGAGGTTCGGTTGTGTAGTAGTGGGGAATAAAAAGGACATGGTCGATGAGGATGCATCAAAGAGGCAGGTGAAAAAGGACATGGCGGAACAATGGGCTGCAAGTCAGGGTTTCCGGCATTTCGAGATTAGTTCCAATGAGCGCGGGGAGGTAGAAGATGTTATTAGAGCCCTGGTGGATAGTGTGCAGAGAGCCAGGCGTATGGATGCGAGAGATATTGGAGATAGTGGGAGAGACGGTGAAGGCGGAATAACGGGATGGGGCATGAAGGTTGTAAAGCGGTTGACCAATGGGTAAGCTGAAGTCTTTGAAGACAACTGCCATCATGTTCACGAACGACGATCCTTCGGATAAGAGGAACTGAACTATTTCAAATATCACTGCGAAGCAATGACGTAGGGACGCGGGCTTATCTCCGCCTAGACAAGTACATTATACATATCCCATCACGACCCCGTAATCCGCGTTCATACATCAACATCAGCCCGCATGCTCTGCAACCTTTGAAAACATAGAATTACGAAATCAAGCCCAGCGACGATGTCCAGCTCCACCGCAGAAACGTCGCCACTGACCCTCATATCAGCAACACCATCGCCATTCGCACGCATGAACCGCATCGCGCTCACTCTAAAAGGCATACCCTTCGAGCTCAGGAATGAGATACCATGGCAAAGCGCAACAGAAACACCCAAGTACAACCCATTGGAGAAACTGCCCATTTTGCTTCTCCCTGACGGCCGACCGCCAGTCTACGATAGCGCGCACATCCAAGAATACATTGTGCGCAAGTATGCAGACAGAGGCCCGAAGCTAATCACCGGCGACATGGACTTGGATCTACAAATCCGACAAATCGTTGTCTTGAGCGTGGGTTGCATGGACGCCATCGTGATAGCCCGGTTTGAAGCTCGCCGAGAGAAAGACAAGCAGTCGCAGCTTTGGCTCGATCGACAGAAGCGGAAGATCAGTGGCGCAATGCAGGCTTTCGATGAGATGGTCCGGAGTATAAGAGAGCAAGACAAGGCATATCTCGTTGGTGACGAGATGACGATTGCTGATATTGCGGTCGTGTGTACGGTAGGGTTTATCGATTTCGGAAGCATGAGCCCTGAATGGAAAAGCAAGTACGAAGGGTTGGCGAAGTGGTTTGAGGAACTGGATCAGAGGAAGGAGTTTGCGGAGACAAGACCCGTTATGTTTGATCTGAAAGAGACTGTAGTGTAGAGAACTACAGTATGGCTACAAGGTCGTCGAATGTTGGTATCGCATCCTCCAAGCTACTTCCTGGACGGCTCGTTTTGTGGCAGATTGTTATCTTCGCTCGTGAGCTCAATCATACTCTCTGTGCCAATCTCCTCGAGCTGTAGCTGTGGCGGGTACCAAATGTAAAAGCTGATCATAACGAGGAGCATCAAGACGCCATCGAATACGTATACTGGCCACTCGTTCGAGTTGAGGTAGCCGTCGTGTCCAGCGATGAATTCGACTAGGCGGAAGATGTTTCGTATCGAGATGAGAACAGAAGTTCCGTATAGCATCCAGAGCACATTTTCCCAAGGTACATCGACAGTTTGGCCTGTGTTGCGGAGGTGGAGTGAGAACTTGCGGTGGAAAAGAACGCAGCACCACATGAATCCGGCAAAGATGAGAACTTGTAGACCCAAGCCTGTGACGATAACACCGTTTCCAGCGTTTACCAATTTGGGCTTGGGAAGGAACCCCGCCCCAGTTGATTGGATGTTGAGACAAAGAAGGTCGCCTGCGATGAAGATTCGAGTGCACCATCGAGGTGACACATAGGAGAAGCGTTCGCCATGCGTGGCTCGCACTACGCGCGAATAAACCATGTACAGTGTGCCTGCAAACAGACACGGGGGAAGAAGGAGGAAGATCGCTTGTAGAAGGAAGGGGACTAGAGCGCCTGTATGATGGGTTGCTATTGCGCGACACGCATAACCCATGGGCTCAGCTGGATATGTTAGTCTACCGACGTACGTATGCCAGTCAGAACAGTGTCAATGGATACGTACAGAAGCCACCAGTAATGAATGGTATAGCGTACCATGTCCGATGTTTGTACGCTTTATAGGTATGTGCTAGAGTCAAAACGAGGAAAAGAATCCCAAACGTGATGGCTGCTGCAAAGTTGGGCACGTATTTCCAAAGGTAGGCGCCTTTGTAGGTTTCAAGCGCCGGCATTCTCAATGATGTATCGAGTGAGAGCGTGCAAAGGTAGTAAAAAAATGCTTCAAACGATGGCACTGCAGAGACAGGCAACAAGGGATTTGTTTCGGAATGGAAGAGGAATTGTGAGTACGAAAGCAGCACAAGCAAAGCAGTTGGAGACTACTTGTAGGGAGATTTTACGTGCACCCAGAAGATCATATTGTCTTGTTCCTGCCTTGCGAAGCGCCAAGGACCTGCCTTCTGCTAGCCATAACGCTCAGATACCCACAGGGCAAAACTGTGCAGCGATTGATGTATAGCCGCATGGCTTGGAAGGAAGTCGCGGACCGAAATGAGTAGAGCTTGCGAGTTGCAGCTGTCTTTACGTCCGTGCAAGTCTTTGTTGTAATGAGAATGTACTAAAACAGTTTGTTGAAGCGCAGGGTATCATCGATGGGTTGGCGGAATGGAGGAGAGGAGAGGCTGGCGCTTGACCCAAATAGGTTTACACGCGTGTTACGTCAGCGAAGGATGGCGCTAGTCAGGAGGCCTTACCCGAGAGATCAGGCCCCCTTCTCCGCCAAGCGCCGTTGCTCGTCCATGCTTCTAATGTCTGCACGTATGTAATACGCGTGTTACCTGATTTTTCACAGTCATGAAGCCAACATGCTCCGGCGCAGTCACAGGAAGTCGAAAGGTGGGTGCCTGGAATGGTGCGTCCTTTACCCCCCTGGTCTCACAATGTCCTTCCTCTCCTCTCATCTGACTGACACTTCCGTATAGCAAACGACGGCATGTCAAGGTAAGCTTTGGATTCAAAGCTCTCTTGAAGCTATTGGTAAACTGATACTTATCAGTGCGACGAAAACCGCCCTCGATGCCGGCTATGCACCGTTTCTGAGCGCGCGTGTAGCTTCACATCCATCTCAGCCCCAGATGCACACCCTCGATCCGTAAGCCCAGGGTTTCAATTTGACCTGAATGCTTCAGTCACACTCAACGATAACTCTCCGACAAGTTCTGCGCTCTGTGACGGTCGAACAGCAGATACTCCATCGACGGCTGGTAGCCAAGCGTACTATGAAGATCACGTCAACGTTGGTCACATGGAGCTCCTCCTGCACGCTATGCTGGACGAAGAAATGTACAATTTTGCCGTCGGCTTTGAGAAGTTCCATCGTTCTGGTATCGCTCTCGGTTTCCAGACGGCTTTGCAGGCGTCATACCTCATGCACCAGATCCTCGCCTTTTCCGCCTGCCATCTGGCACATGTCAATCCAGAACGCTCAGCCTACTTTCGTCACCAATCCGTGGCTCTACAGACACGCGCTGTTTCGCTATTCAATTCTGCCAGAGTAGATGTGGACCAATCCAATTGTGTACCGATACTGCTTTTCTCTTCAATGCTGGGTCAGCACCTACTGGCGGACACCCTTGCGTTACGTCCTTCGACCGGTATCGATGCATTCATCACACACTACGTGCAGTGTATAGATATGCACAGAGGTATCTATACCATTGCTACATCCGCGTGGCCTTTACTGATGAAGTCGGAGCTCGAACCGATACTTTCATTGAGTAAGACCTTCACTTCTCAGCTCCCAAAGGGCGATGATTGTCTGTCTGTTAGCAATCTCATCGAACACACTGACGACATGAGCGAAGAGGAAAAGCAAGCATGTCGAACTGCAGTGCGCTACCTTCAAGTCGGGCTCGATGCCGTGCAAAGCGACGAGGACTCGCCGATCAGTCGGTATCAAATGATCTGCGAGTGGACTATGCTTATTCCCCCGGGATTCAACAGACTCTTGGATGCGAAGCAGCCTGTAGCTTTAGTAGTGCTTGCTTACTACGCCATCTTACTACACTTCGGCAGACATTTATGGCAAGTCGGCGATGCTGGACGTTATATCTTCGCCCTAATCGAAAGGTATCTGGGCTCTCCATGGGAAACCTGGCTATCCCATCCACGAGTGGCGTTGTCAGATTCAGCCTTAGGATAGATCCGTGTTCATTGCAAGGCTGCACGGGTACAGGGGTGCACGCCACCGTTATATGAGCCGACCAATCGTGGCCAAAACGTTTTTCCTCCTACTTGTTCGGCTCACCAGCTTCCTAAATTGGTATTCCGTATGCTTCCGTCAGCTGTGCATATGCAAGGCAAGCACCCACGCGAACTCTACCCAACCGCCTGCAAGCATTTAACGAACAGCTGGTGGGCACATGGAAGGCTGTTCTATGGATGATGGCGCTCCGCGGGCATGATGCGTAATCTTGGACGAGAATGTGTGCATCGCTCTTACCGATGATAACTTTCATGTGCAGGGGCTGCCGAACCATGAGGCTGTTTAAAGGCCGTCCGTCGAACCTGCACTGAACAGCGTACTTCTCATTCACTTTGACGCCTCTCGGCCAGTTCTTTCCACACTGTCGCAAGAGCGAATTGCTCCAACATGAGCGTTTCAACCCCAGTCTGGTTCATCACAGCAGCTTCAAGCGGTTTCGGCAAATGCTTGGCCCTCGAAGCCCTGGCGAGAGGCCACAACGTCATTGCCAGCGCTAGAAGTCTCTCGCGCATCGCCGAACTCAAAGACGCAGGCGCAGATACCGTGGTTTTGGATGTCACATCACCGTTGGAGGAGCTTCAGAGGGTAGCAAAAGAAGCCAACGACAAATATGGATATATCACCCATCTTGCCAATGTTGCGGGCTACGTGCTCGTAGGCGCTGTAGAAGAAACCTCGTATGTGTTTCGTCGAGCTTGACCTCCAGGCTAGTAGACCTACTGACGACATGCAGCCCGGAACAAGATCTCAAAATCTTTACCACGAACGTGCTCGGTACCCTCAACGTCGTCAAAGCCTTCCTACCCCACCTACGTGCCACATCTGGCCATCGAACCATTTCAAACTTTGGATCGGTAGTGTCTTGGCAGGGCGGCGCGGGCTACGCTCTATACGCGGGAACGAAATGGGCTGTATCGGGTATCACGGAAGGACTGCGCGCAGAGCTCGCTCCCCTTGGTATCCCTGTTACCGTCATTGAGCCAGGCTACTATCGTACCGCTGTTCTTGCAGAGGGAGTGCAAGTGCAGAGCGAGAAGCATATCGATGTGTATGAGGACGGCGACGTGGGAGAGCTGAGGAAATGGCTGGAAGGGAAACATGGCACCCAGAGAGGAGATACTACGAAAGCTTGTCGGGTTATAGTCGATGTGTTGACTATGAGTGGGTGTGCTGAAGGAAAAGAGATACCGATAAGAGTGGTATTAGGAGAAGATGCGCATCAAGTGATTAGGGAGAAGTGCGAGAGCACCTTGAAGCTGTTGGACGAGTGGGAGGGTGCTGCAACCAACACTGATTTTGATTGATGGTGTCTCGACAAATGTCTTCTGTGGCCCATCTGGTGGGGACATTTTGGTATACGAGGAATACGCGGCAGATTCTGTAGCAGTCTAACAGCTCTTTGATAAGCTCTTTGATAGATGCCTGTGAAGAGGTTCATTCATGGGTAGTGGTACCTCATAAACGAGAGTGCCTCGCAGGCTTGTCGGCTAGTCATGCCAACTTCCATCTCTTAGCGAATTCTATGCCCTCCGCAAGCGAGCCGACTCTTGCGTCAATAACATATCCTTGTTCCGTAAATTTGATACATTCATCCCATAGATCTTTCAGCGGAACAGAGAAGGTTTCGATGAACTCGTTTTCTTCAAGCTCCGGCTGTGGGTTCTGGTTCTCCGGGCGAGACATGTCCACTGTGACGTGAATCATCCTGAGGTTGGTGTTGCAGAAGCCGGGATCTGGATGAAGATTAGTGTGCGTAATGTTGATATCTATGTGTGGCGTTCGTATGTCAAATGTGCACGGTCGTTGCCTTTGTGGCATCATTACGAAGAAGCTTTCCGGATGCAAAAGAAAATAATAAGGAGCGGCATACTGATGACGTCGCAAGCGCCATTTCCGAGCCCTACTTACCATTAAACATGATTGGAGTAACCCGAAACTAGAATGGGAGACATGTTATCAGCGTATGCTTGCATGGCAGATGAATGGATTTCTTACAGTCTTATCTGGGACGAGTTCTCCGACGTAGCCCGTTTCCTCCTTGAGCTCACGGATGGCGCAGGACTCTGCAGTCTCATCCGGATCCATCAAGCCAGCCGGAACTTCTATGACGGTCGCATCAACGGGCGCACGCCATTGCTTTTGCAGCAGAATCCGAGGCTCATCATTGGGTTTCGCTGGGTCCTGGAGGATGGCTGCAACGCCTACGCCGTCAATGTCAGATCCCGGTGGTCGGGTGAGACGTTCTCCGGATTCCCATGTGCGCTCAACACCTTTTGGGTCAGTGTAGGTGATTCTAGAAACTGTAAGCAAAGTGTTGACTAGTGTGTACGACGCAGAGATCCGGCGAGGCTCCGGCGTGTTCATGTTGTGAATGCCATAGACTGGGATGTATTTGTGGCATCTGAGAATGGCTTGAGGCGTCCAAAACCGCCGAATACTTACTTTTTGAGTGTCGCCCACTTGGCATCTTTGTTGTCAAGTGGCTCAGTCTTGACGACTTTGGAATTATCGGAAGTCTGAAGGGACGAGACCATTGTAGCTGTGGGTTGTTGTGCAATCCAACTTAGCCAGCGGACTCGTGCTAAGTAGGATGGAGAGTGTGTGAGGGGCGCCCTTGACAAGGGTAGCCACTAGACAGGGTGCGTATGACGCCATACATCGCGAGCTGCCAAGACCTCCCACCTCGAATACTCAATAGCTGTGCGCATGACATCCCCCAAGATGTGAGTCGCTCCTACCATTTGGAACTGATTGCTATATGCCGTTGGCCGTGCTTGAGATGCTGTTTCTGTGACTTTCTTCATGACGGTCTATTGGACATTCTCCGCGAAGATATTGCGCGGCCACTGGGTGTTGAGATTGAAGTATTAGAGTAGACAGTCTCTCTGTCTCACTACATACACGAGCCGAAACTCGGCGCTCGCGCGATTCTGGGGGTCACATTGGAGGCGCGTTTTCCAGGCCTCA